ATACCTTAGACTCTCACTCAGCCTGTCTACAGGAGTACCAGCTCCATGTCCAGCTCCCAGCATCCAGAATGCCATTGTTCTTCCCAAGTACCTATCGGACCTCAACTTTCCCTTTAGTGTTTGGGTCAGAACTTCTCTTTGACCTTGTCCCCACGTCTATAGCTCTTCTGAAGGTCACCTGTAACTGTTAATAGGTCTCTCTCCCCCTGCTAGATGGAAGCTCCTGGTCCGAATATTCAGTAGACATTTGCCAAAGGGACAGGCCCCTCTTCACTCCCGCGTATTCTCCTCACTCATGCTTTCCTTCCGTCTACACTACCTACCTTCTCGTTCTGATACAAGTGAGGGAGGCCAGTTCCCACTCCCCGAGAATCCCCTCATCTTCTCTGGCCTCTACTCTTTTTCAAGTCAGTTCTCTCCTGGTCCCTGGGTCCCAATCCCTGTCTGCCCTGCAGCCAGCTCTGCTCTATCTCATCTTGATCTCCACAGGCCTCCTTCAACTTTGTCCTTGTTTTCTCTCTCTCTCTCTCTCTCTCTCTCTCTCTCTCTCTCTCTCTGCCTCGGTGTGTGTGTGTGTGTGTGTGTGTGTGTGTGTGTGTGTGTGATTCTTTTCCATTTCCACATAGAAATTACCAGACACCAGGAGGACAAGGAGAATGAATGAACTGGTGAAGAGCTACCCTGAATGAATGAGTGAATAAACACCACAGAGAAATGCAGACGCCTCTGTATCCGGGCTATCAGTCATCCTCCACCATCAGGAAGCATGCTAAGGGCATGAGACAGAAGGGCTTGACTGGCAGGTCCAGAGCCTGTCCTGCACAAGTCTGAGCCCTGCTCAGAGCCACAGAGACAGAAAAGGACAGTCTTAGCTTGGCAAAGTGCAGACCAAACAGAGCAGATTCCCTAAAAGAAACTGAGACTTGCTGAGGAAGGAATTAGCACCTTCCACCTGAACTACTCAGGATAGACACCATGGCCCAAGGAGACACGAGCTAAGTCAAAGATGATACAGAAGGATTGATGTGTGGACTCAAGACCAGACAGGCCTTCCTTGTATCCTGGACTTCCCTTACAAAGAATGCCAGGGATCACTGGGCAGGTTCCTCTCAACCTCCAGTCCCCCTTATCTCCATATCATGGGTATAATAACTGTGATTCTTACAGGTCACTGTGAAAACTAAGAAATAGACTCTTCCAAAATCTCTCTCCTGCCTCCCAGAAAGAGTGACTATTAGCAGTGTTATGCAAGTGGCCCAGTTTTTTTACCAAGGTTTCCCTAGACACATTGTTGCTGAGACATACAAGTTACACAAGGATTTTAGGTTCTAAGCAAGGCTAACAAAGAGCTATTAGTTGCTCACTGAGGAAGCAACAACCCCATCTCTTCAGGCCTGAGATAAGGTTGGCTTTTGGTATGACATTATTCTCCAAGCACAGGTATAGGAGGATGGAAATCTACATACTTCAAGGAGTTTCTTCACCGTTTTTAAACAGAAGTAGCTAACATCTCAGCAGCCACTGGAAAACTATCTGGAATCACCTTCCGTTGATCACTCATTCATTCTGTGGTGTGTGTGCATGTTCATGCGTGTGTGCATGTTCATGCGTGTATGCATGTTCATGTGTGTGTGCATGTTCATGTGTGTGTATGTTCGTGTGTGTGTGTGTGTGTGTGTGTGTGCTCACCCACATGTGCACAAAGGCCAAAGGCTCTCTCAGTCTGCACTTTACCCCCTTGAGACAGGACCGTTCACTGAATCTGGATCTAGACTGGCAACCACCAGGCCTCAGTGAGCCTCCTGTCCCCACCCCCACAGCACTGGGGCTGCAGGGGCACACAGCCCACACTCAGCCTCTTACATGGGTTCTCCATCAAGCGTTCTTAGTCACTGAGCCATTCCCTAGCCCTTGTCCATTTATTTTGAACTTAACATTGCATAAGTGCGTGCGCACGTGTGTGTGTGTGTGTGTGTGTGTGTGTGTGTGTGTGTGTCTGGCTTCCCTGGGACCCAGAACCTCCTTTACTTAAACAATAAAACACCCACAAAATATTAAGCATTTCCCCAGTGTTCTGATCTTCCAATGATAACTATCAACTAACACTTTCTTGGAATTCACTCCACATTCGGCTGCAGAGTTTTTCCCATGTGAAATCAAACTGAGAAAAATTTTTAAAGCAATCTGAGCTTATACACTGCTTAAAATTCATGCCCCAGGATTTAAACAAACCTTTACCTATACACGTGTATATTTGTCTTGCAAATAGGCCATATAGCAAGGTAAAACAAACGCCTGTCTTCCTTGAGACGTGCGTACGGATCTTGTTTTTTCCCTGGCCCAAATTTCCAAAAGTCAAATATTTAATGGGATGATTGATGTCTAAGGCCTGAGGGGAAAATAAAATTCTTTACTTCTCATCAAGAAAAACACCCAGAGATATGGATTCTAGACCCAAGGCAGCCATCATCTAAGCGTCATCTTACCTTGGAGTCCCTCCACGTCTCTGTTCTTGGTGTCTGCTCAATGACCTGCAGTGATGGGGCTGGGAATGGGACAGGAAGTGATTTGAAGCCTATCCAAACCCCCAAATCCCAAGACTCCAGCTTCAATATGGATAAATACTGGCAAGATTTTTATTCTGAAAAATACCTTAACACTGACTGCAAGCGTGGTTCCTGGGAGATTTCTATATTATGCACTGTCCACTAGCCAGTGAGAGGCGTCCATCTTGATGTTGTCATGAATACTGTTACTATAGCAACACTCCCTGTTGCAACCTTGGGTATTTGCAATGCAGGTGAACTTGAAGTATTTGGTAAAGGTTTCAAGTCTCTGGCAAAGGCACCAGTTACTAGAACTCAGCCTGGCGAGCTGACCCTTCACCACCAGCTCAGGGCTTTGAGGCTCTCTGGCACTGAGAACTTACACTTCCTACCCCATAGGACCTACAGCGGAGCTGCCCAGAGCCCAGGGAATGACTACGAAAGCCAGCCCTAGAAGTAGTCACTGTGCCTGTCAGAATTTCCACACTTTCTGAAAGATGAGCTGTGAGCATCTCCTCAGAGTTTGGGTCTCAGGGATATAACTAATACCTCAGGGACAGGAGGGTTGTGGAAACGCAGCAGGAGTCTCCAGATGACCTATCCTGAAGCAACCTGGGAAGCGGAGGCTGTGGGAAGGCAACACTGCTGTCTCACAGACTCAGACCACAGTTCGGAACTGAGACAAAGGTTCCATCAGCCTGGGCTTCTACCAGCGTCTAGAGCTACGAGGGAGGAGGAACTTCGGGGATCCCAGCTCTCCCATCCAAGACTCCACTGTCCCAAGACCGTGGCCTGACTTTCCATTCCAGATTCAGAAAGCCACCTCCCCCATGTTCAGTCCTGGGCCTCTGGCTGTGGGGCAGGTAAATGACAGCCTTCCAGATCTGTGGTTCTAGAATTCTTGTCTGTGCCCTTCCTCACACTGTGGATAGCTTCCAGCTAGCCAAGCCCCTCACCTTCCAGTTCCATAGTACAAGACCGTTTCTGGGGTCTTTGAAGAGAAGCTAAGAGTTTTTTTTTACAAGTTATGGCTTGGGCTTTCTAGATGAGCCCTGGGCTCCAGTCTGGGTGTAGTCTCCCCAAGATAAGAAAGAAACCTTCCTTCCTCTGGAACTGACATCAGTCCCTGGCCGGGCAGTCCATAGGCTATAAGGTTAAGTGGAGGGGTGCTCTTCCCCCAACTCTAGCTGGGAGCCTCACGCCATCCAGCTTTATCTTCTACCAAACCTGCTCTGTCTGGGTAGATAGTGACCATGCTCACTCTACTAGCTGTGACCTCCCGTTTGGGTTCTCAAGCCAGCTAAGAGATCAGCTGGCAGACAGATCCTGGTGAGACCCCTCTGGTATGTGGGCAACATTTCTGATCTCACTCTCAAAGGTCATCTTTCCACACAGTTCCTCCCTTCCTGCCCAACCCCACACAAGTTGTTTATTTCTCAGAACTAAACGCCACAGCCCAGTGCTTCTCAGCCACCCCGGCAGCATTTTGTCACAGTCACTCGACACTAAGCGCAGGATTAGGCAGTACCCTAAAGACCACATTTGCTACCCTGTCCTTTGGGGGAAGTCCCCAGTAATGTTCCAGACTGTACTTCCCCAGCTCTGGTACCCAGGCCACAATCCTGAGGGCAATGCCCAGAGAACAGGTGCCCACAGACATGCTAGCCCACCCATGAATATAGACTCAGAGCCAATGGCACCACGTACTACATGTTCTATTCTTGTTTGGAACTTGGCTAGAAGGGTCTATATGTCTTCCCTGAGTCTCCCTGGAGTAGTACTTTGGAGAAAGATAGATCGTACAGACATGTGGCTCAGCTAGATCAGCCAGCTTGCAACCAATACAGGAAGGGTTTCAGCAGAGGTGCCCGTTCCCATGTGAAATGGCAGAGTTTGCCTGGGAATGTCTTTAGTCTCATGGCTCCAGAAGTAACAAAGGCGAAGACGGAAGTCGCTGCACTCTTCCCTGAGCATTGCGTGGGCTGTTTCTGCAAAGTCTGCAGCTGCGCATTACCAAATATCTCCAGTGATTTTTAAGAAGAATGTCCGGTTTGGTGTATAACATGGAATATTAATGGCTGATACTTCATGGGCCCTGAATCAGGCATCTGGACTCTGTCATACATGAACCAGCTCGGTCCGTTTTCACCATGGCTCTGAGAGGTCAGGGCTCTGATTATCTCCACTGTATAGAGGAATAATGGGAGCCCAAAGATTGTATATAGGCAGTTAGTGATGCCGCGGGCAGGAAACCTCATCCTTTCTCACAACCCCAGCCCAACCCCCCTAGGGCGTGTTGATGCCAGTGGGGGCGAAAAGGAAAAAGAAAAAGAAAAAAAGAAAAAGAAAAAGAAGGTAGATTCTTTGATATTCAAGTTCCAGCACCTGACCCCTGACCGTAAAGGGCTCCACTCTATCCCCAAAAAACCCAGTAACCCAGCAGAACTCCCTTACCATTTATCTCTCCTCTCTCTCCTTTCTCTCCCTTTGGGCCTCGGTCACCTGCAACAGAAGGGAAACAGGCATTAGGAGTAGAAACAAACCTGATTTGTTAGTGGAATGTTATCTTTGGATTTGCTAACCCACGGCCAGGCAGCAGCCACCAGAGGGCACTGTGGGGAAGATAATTATGACGTCTGCTCTGGTCCTGCAGGGAAAGAGTCAGAGAGTCTACTACTCCCTCTAGTGAAAGCACCAGAAAGCCCCTGCTACCACATACCACCAAGGGAAGCCTGGGACGGGGCAGGTGGGCAATGGAGCAAAGTCAAAGTTGGAGAGAAAAATCACACCCACGTTCACTCCCACAACCGCAATACGGAAGGGGACTGAGCTCCAGCGGTCATGGAGACAGGTTATATGTCAGGCGGTTTTTTTTCTGGTAGGGGAGACTGTAAAACATGAGGCAGAGTTTCCAAGGACTTGTGGAATTTCCTTTCCGGGGTTGGTTAAAAGATCAGAGCTTTCCCCAGCTTCCTCCTCTTTCAATAAAGCAGAATGTCCTGGCACTGCTCAGGGGCCCAGAGAAAGGCAAGGGGTATTCTAGTTTACCGCTCTCCAGACAAACATCTGTAAGTCAAAAGCCCACTGCAAACTGTGAGTGAAGAAAGCAGATCAGAAAATGCCAAGGGAGAGAATTTACTGCGATCCTGGATTTGAAACAAAACAAAAGAAAAGCAACCACATACGTGACTGAATACATTTAGGGAAGCATCCAGCAGCGTGTGCTCCAAAGAGCTCACAGTGGTCACTCTGAAGAGTAAGAGCCAAAGGGGCCAAAGGAGAAAGGGCTCCCTATTTACTTTGCCCATCCCACGTCTCTGTACTACCTAGCTGTTTTTCAGCAAGCATGGTTTATCTTTACAGTCTTTAAAAGTTACGTGTTTTCAAATAAGGATCACAAAAGAAAAAAACTCAGTACTTTTTATCTCTAAAGAGTAGAATATGAATTTCCAATGATCTAGAACGGGAGACCTCCCAGATGCAAAGTGGGAATGATGAACAGTACTAGGTTATCCTGATAATAAGTGAAACCTGGGCATCGGTGCAAGGAACATCAGTTATCCTTGTTTTCTGCAGCGATGAAGGAAGGTCTGTTGATCTATCTATCTATCTATCTATCTATCTATCTATCTATCTATCCATCTATCTGAGAATGGTTTCTCCATGTAGCTCAGGCTGTCCTGGAGCTCACCATATAGATCACAGTGGCCTTGGAATCAGAGAGATCCACCGGTCTCTGCTTCCCGAGTGCCGGGATTAAAGGAGGGCATCACCACACCTGGCCAACCTGAAAATCCCGAATGGAAAGGGAGCCATAGGGACTGACTCTGAAGTAGGTTCCCTTAAAAACGAGCAAGGGGAATAGTCAGAGAAAGAAGAAAGAAGCCATCAGAAGAAACAGTGCTGGCTAAGTCAACCTGAGAAGTGAAATAAATGGATATCCCATTCAGATACCCATAGGCATGCACTAGGGGAAGCATGAAGAGTCTTGCAGAAGGCGGGGAAGCTGGTGTAACTAGTGAGGAGGGGCAATACAGGCTTGCAGTCTAGTTTTGTTCTTGCTAGCCTCCGTTGCTTATATCTCCGGGTTGAAACCTGTACACACACACACACACACACACACACACACACACACACACATGCACGCGCACGCACAGAACTTTGCTGAATGGCAGCTTCAGGCTGCAGTGGGCTTCAGTGTTACCTTTGAATCCGCGCAGGCCCATGGGACCTGTGGCCCCTAACTTCCCATCATCACCCTTGGGGCCAGGCAGTCCTGGGGTACCTCTCTCTCCAGGCAGACCTAGGAAGAGAAGAGACAAGGATGGAGCTACAGATTCAGAAAAGTCCTTTAGATGCCAAAGCCTGGTTTAATAATTCATGCAACCTCGGTCTCCCATCACCTCTGCGTCTTCTTGTTTGCATCCTGCAGGTCGGCTCAGGGCATCTGTATATGCACCTTAATCACCCTTCCCTGGCCCTTCATCCTTGAAGGCCTAGTAGTGCTGCGAGTGGATAGCAGTGCCAGTCCCATCCAGATACCCATACGCATGCTGGACTTCTAAATTCTGCACACATCTTTTGGATTTCTTTCTGTGCGCCGGGGATAAAGAATCTCATTTAATCCTCGTGACTAACATAAAGGTATTAATTCATCCATGCTACAAATAAGGAAATTAAGGCTCACAGACGGTAAGTCACTTGGGCACACAGCAAAGGGCTTTGGAGGCAGGCTCTGAGTCTTGGTGTTTCTTACAGAAACATCATGGTTGGTCAGCATCATGTCACACTTTAGGCTGAGGGGTTTGCTGGTCCTTAGGGAGGAGGGGATGCTATGGGGATGGCATTAGTGAGAGACAGAAGGGTGAGGTAATGCCTCAACCTATTTAAAGACAAACAAACCAAACCAAACACTCCCTTTCTTTCCATAAACAAAGAGGCAAAACTGTGAGGACGTCCACAAAACCAATCAATGGGTGCATAGCCTGCCATCCCATTAGGCCCTGGGCTCCAGGTTCTTGGCCATCAGACCCTGTGGCCACAGCCTGTACTGAATGCACCATGGTGAGCCAGAATCAGCAAACACTTTTATGAGCAAGAGCCCAAGGCCCCCAAGAGTCCTGACCCGAGTCTAGTCATTGCTGCAGAACACAGTTCTCTTAATCAACAGCCTAATTGTTCTTTCCTGCTTGGAGAGCAAGCTGCTTTTCATTGGGCCCTTTTTTCCACAGCACGAGAAACCTATCCCCAAGTCATTACCCCAGGGCTACTATCAAATGACTGGGAGAGGACAGTGGCCTCCCAAGGGTGTGAGGACGTCAAAGACATTGATGGAATGTCTCTCCCTTCTTGACACGATGCATCTGTTCCCAGGGTCTAAGAGTCCTGTGGCAACTGAGCTCCAAGCCTAAGGCAAGATGTGCCCAAAGCTCCCCACCCTATGATTCACTGGGCAGGAAAAGTGGCTCCGCTGTCCTGGGAACCTCAGGGCATCCTCGGCCATGGAACTGAGGACAGAACGGAGGTCAGGCTGGAGACCTCCCCTTCCAGGCCCTGTCTTCTCTTCTTTGTCTGTAATATACCTAGTGATTTGGCAGGAACAATTTCTAAAATAAATAACCGGAACCCTCCCCACGAGGCTTCTTCTCCTTGCATCATTTTGAAACCTCCTCACTCTGAGGAATGTCACATATGACCCTGGCTCAGCCATGGGTAGACTCACATGCTTGACAGAGTCCCTGATAAGAAATGCCTAAGACCACGAGCCAAAGGAAAACATAGTTTTTCTAGAAGGTCCTAAACGCCCCACCCCATCTGCCACCAGCCACGGGGAATGGGATATCAGGAAGTGAGATGGGGCAGGGGCATGCCAGACTCCTAGTATCATAGAACACCTTCTCGTGGGGGCAGTGATTTAGAGGACCTGGGGACTCTTGTGAGTTCTTGCCTTAAGATCCTGGTACTTTTTCAGGAAAAGCATTTGGCCTGTTCTGTGACTAGACTGACTGCTTAGTCACCCGGTGGAAGAACAGTGGAAGTTTATTATCCCTAGGAAGAGTGGTCAGGGATGGACTTGAACCCCCGCCCCAGTTTCCTCCCAGGGTATCCCTTTACCTCGCAGTCCTGGGAATCCAGGAGTACCTGGCTTTCCCTCCTTTCCTTCATTGCCCTGGTCACCTTTGGGTCCTGGTGGTCCTGAAAGAGGACAACAACAAGGTTAGAGGGTAAGAAAGCCAGGACATCTGCAGAGAAAGCAAACAGCTCCCCCTGTAATGAGAGGAAGAGCCAGGATTCTGCTTTGGAAGCATGGAGATGCCAGGTACTCAGCTCTGGGGGGCATCAGGGGAGGTTTCCTGAAATCTCAAGAAGAAACAGGTACTAGCTAAGTAAAGAAGAGGGGGACGGTATTCAGGGTTATTGATGACCCTCTCAAGTCCATATGTTGAAGTTCTTATGGTTTGGAAAGGTGGGGCTGTAGGAGGGGTCTGAGTTTATACAAGGTCATGAGGATGGGACTTTCTCAGTGCGATTAGTGGCTTTAGAAAAGGAGGAAAGTCAGCTATGGCGGAGCACACCTGTAGCCCCAGCACTTACTCAGGAGGCAGAGGTAGGAGGATGGTGAGCTTAGGGCCAGCCTGGGCTATAGCATAAGCTCCCGTCTCCTGTCTGGAGCTTGGCACTAGCGCTCATGTATGCCTTTCCTCTGCCTTCATTCCTGTCCCCGACATCTCTCTCACTCTCTGCCCGACTAGGATACAACAAGCAAGGAAAGGAAGCCCTCACCTGAACCCAGTTATGTTAGTACCCTGAACTCAGTCTCCTAACTTCCAGAACTGAAAAGAAAGAAATGCCTGTGGTCTAAGCCCCCTCAGCCTCCATTTCAGTGGTCAGGGCTGATCAAGCCAGCGTGAAGAGGAAGAGTTCTGTGCAGAGGAAAGCAATCCCTACAGGAGCTTAAGGCAAAGATGCAGCTACGTAAGCTATGGCGAAACTAACAGCAGGGGCTCCGTGGGCTGGGAAAGTGGGGGTGCTGGGGGCCTAGATGCTGGATTTGACCCTGACCGGGGAGTACTAGAAGCTTTGGAAGGGGCCTGGTGGGAGAGCCACATTAGATCTGCATACAAGGAAGGGAGGAAGATGGCTGGGCTGTGTGTGAAAGAGGGATGGTACAGGGGGAAGGTGAGAGGGGCAGGGAAGCAGGGAGGCAGGGGCTGTGGTCCATTTAGGTGGAAGGTGGAAGAACCGTGGGTTAGGAAAGTGGCCATCCAAGACATGGGAGAAGGGCCAGTCTGTTTAGAAAGTAGGATGGCTTTTGCTCCTCCTGGGGAAGCAGTGGAGGAGGCTGGGCGAAGCTCAGGTTTCCAGCTTGGCACCTGACCGGAGGACACGTTTTTAATGGCTTGTGAGTGGGGCTTCCTTCCAGGAGAGGCTGCAGTGTGGCAGAGACTCAAGTATACATGACTGAATTCAACCTCCAGCCTCCATGCCTGTACCGTGTGTGGAAGTTCCTTGTCTGAGGCCACATAGGCAGCCAGCTGGTGAAGGAGCCATGCTCTTGGTCCAGGTCTGCCTGGCATTCATCCTTTCTGCCACACCCATGAGACCAGACATCTCGCCCATCCCACTTTCCTGTCACTCATTCTGACGCCTGTTGTTCCCAGGCTGGTGAGCACAGAAGCCCCCCACCGCTCGTCAACTCCATATGTCTGCGAGCTGGGTGTGCTTCTTGCAGCTTTGCTGATGATTCTTTCTTGGTCCCATGGTTCCTGCTGGAGAAGCAGACCTGGGGTGTTTTGATGCAGCCCTCAAACAGCCTTGCCCTGTGGTTCTCTCTTTTCTGCTTCCCAAAGGCATCCTGAAAACCTGCCCCTGCTGTGGGAACCCAGACTGTAAACACTCACGTCTTGCTCTACTGGCTGAATAGTGCTTTCAATGCATCCATCCTCAGAACCTCCTCCCCTTTCTTAGGACACTGGGTTTCCGTGGATGTGATTAGCTGAGGTCATCCTGGAGTGGGATGGACCCTAATCTTGTGACCAGAGACATGGGACAACAGAGGCAGCGATGGGAAAGAGGCATCTGCTGACCAAGACTGCCCCGGTCACCGAAAGTTCAGAAGACACAAGGAGGAACCTGCCTCTGAGTTTCAGAGCCATGAGACCCTATAGATGCTTGGTTAAAGACTCGTAACCTCTAGACAATAAGCTGCTATTTTTAGCCCCAGTCTGTGGTGGTCTCCCAGGAAACCAAAACATGTAGGCCCGCAGCAGACCAGGGTCTTGCACAATCGATATTTGACAAACGAACGAGTATATGAGATCACAGGGTGTTAATACATACAAAACAACACGGCTGCCAAGATCGAGATGTACTGATACATTCCAAAAGTTGGCACTGTCCTCAGCCCTTAACCCAAGCTGACAGCCATTTAACAACTCAATAGCGTGAGAGCAAGGAAAAAGCAGTCAACATTTTTTTTTTAATTCACGAGTGACAGAAAGCATTCAAAAAAAAAAGCTGAAGGTTTTAGGCGTCATCTTATTTTTGACCCCAATTCTCAGATAACAGGATCAAGATATAAAAACTGTTTTACCAAAAGCTACACGCCCAGTGAAAGGCAGGGCTATTAAAAAGAGCTCCATCACCCCTTTCTCCATCCCCATTCTGAATCCAGAAGTCTCCCCTTCAGGTCAAATTCAACAACAAAGGGAACTCAGCTCAGATCTCTGTTGCTAAATCCCCACCCACCCCAGACACTTCACCCTACTTCACTCTCCATCTCTCCCTGCCAGGGAGCCTGGGCTCTGAGATCTGGGCCCTCTACAGCTGTGCCAACCCACATCTGCCATTCTGCTTCTGGGCAGTATATGCTGTTACAACCTCAGTTGTGGCCAGCCTTGCCCCTGTGAGCCTTTTTACTTCTCTGATTCTTATAGTCACGTGTCTTGGTTTCTGTTTTCTGAGGTAGATCACAGTGTGGAGGGGGTTGGGACAAGGTCTGCCTACTATCTGAGCCCACAAGGACCCTGCCACTGACTGCTCTGCCTCAGTTTCCCAAAGCTACAGGGCCCTGGACATCTACTCTTCCACAACATAAGTGCAGGGTGTCCCCTTCCTCATTCAAGACATCCTGAACGAAGAAAAGGGCAGGGCAGAGACTGCCAGCTCCATTCCAGAGAACAGTGCCTCCAAGAAGTTAAGAAGCAACCCTGCTGGAGAGAACCTCACGGGCAATGGAGACGGGATGTATCGATCTACTATCCTTCTCAGAGTATCCTTCATCTACTTTGAAGAAGGTGGGAGGGTCATATAGCCCACCCAGGACCTGAACACATACCCCAATTCTCCTCGAGCAGATATACACTTGTCTTACAAGTGGCCCCCATTCACAGCCATGGTCCACTTCTATTAACTGGAAGCCAGAGTTCCCTTGGCAGACCTAGAATCCAGCCCCACCCCCCACCCCTTAACTCCACAGACCAAGGAGGGCTCCCTCCCCCATCCACTAGATGGTGTTTTCTATCGAAAACACAGCAGCTGCCAGATGAAGCTGCTTTGAAAACTTGTTTTCACTAATTAAGAGGTGTGCTTTCTTCATCTGGCTTGGCATTTGACTTGGAGAAGCCGTTTCCCCTCTCAGGGCCGTGGGATTCTCCGCTATGATACAGGAGGATTAGACCAGATGATTTTAGAGGCCCATTCCCATTCCAAAGAATTTTAGAAGGCTTGCCTTTTAGCCATCTGCATGTGGCTGGGTGGCCTGCCTCAAGGCTTGCTGTACCAAAGTTTTCTGGCATGTCTCCCCTCTCTGAGTTTCTTTTCTCTTCCCCATCTCTGATAGGCTAAGTTCTCTGTGCCTTTAAATCCCACAGACAGATTTTTGAGGGACCTCCTTGATGCTGAAAAAAAAAAGCAATGCTCTGCTGAATGCCCACGAAGGTGAACTGAGGTTAGAAGCCACAGAAAACGGTGCAACAAAGCGAGAGAATGAAAGCCATTTGGGGGGAAAGCTCAAGGATCGTGTAAATGCTCTCATCTTTGAAAAGTACATGCATTCGAGTATTTGTGGATTCTGAACCAGAGGAGAGCAAAGGGGAGGGCGTTGTATATGTGTCTGCCTGTGTGGGTGCATACATGTGAGTTATGCATGTAGGTATCTCTGTGTGTGCATATGTGTGTACCCATGCATTATGCATTCACGTATGCGTGTCTGTTCATATGTGTACATATATACTGAATTATGTATGCCAGTGTTTGTGCATATGAACGTGTATATGCTCCCGAGTTATGTGCCTGTGGGTGTATATGCCTATGTATGTACATTTGAATTAGGTATGTAGTTGTCTGTGTATGTTTGTATAAACACGTGTGAGTTATATATGCAGGAATCTGTGTTTGTGAATGTCTGTGCATGTGTGTGTGTGCATGTGAGTTATGCATTCAAGTGTGTTATGTATTTCTATGTGTATGTATAGGCATGCATGCATACGTGTGTGCATGAACGTGTCCATGTGGGTTTAGAGAGGATTAAACTAGAGAGGAATGAGGTAGAATTATGACAGGAAGCCACTCCAACAGCAGTATAGAAAAGCATGGAAGCATACAAGAACACTCTGGATATGTACTGCTGAAGGCCTCCAAGGTGGTTATAGCTTCCTGTGGTCACTGTGGCAGCTCAGAGGATTGACCACAGCATGATGAGGAGAGGACTCGGGGATGAAAGTGAACTGGAGAGCTGCAGATGGTTCTGTCTACCTCTGTAGGGGAGTGCAAGGTTGACCGGGCCAGAGGGAATCCTCCAGAGAGCATACCAGGAGCCATTGAAGAATGGCTCACACAGGCCAGAACCCACACTGGACCCTAGTTCCATCTTACCCTGAAGCTTCCTGGGTCGCACTGCCCATGCCAACACACAAGGGGACAGTGATACATCCCCAGAGAGGTGCCGTTCTCGAGAGATGCTGTGTGGCATGCCCTTGGTATACCCACATGCAGAAGGTGTATCTAAGAGGATAGTTTCAGCTGGGCTGACTACTAGACCAATCAGGATTTCATGAAGCCCACAGCCCTGACAAGGGAGAGGCTGGTTTATCAGGAAAGAGCAGAATCAGGTCTCTAGGCTAACAGTTGTGAGTGTGCTGGCTAGTTATTTATGTCAGTTTGAAACAGCCAAAATCGCAGGAGAGAAGAAAATCTCAACTGAGAAAAATGCCTCCATCAGATCAAACCATAGGCGAGCCTGTAGGGCTTGTAGGCGGTATAATCCCAGTGTTGGTGGTTTGGGGATCTATAAGAAAGCAGGTTAAGCAAGCCACGGAGAGCAAGATAGTAAGCAGCGCCCCTCCATGGCCTCTGCATCGGCTCCTGCCTCCAGGTTCCTGCTCTGTTTTCAATCTTGCCTTGACTTCCTTCACTAATAAACTATGATGTGGAAGTGTAAACCAAATGAATGTCCCCAGTTTGCTTTTGGCCATGGTGTTTCATCACAGCAATAATAACCCATTCATGAATAACTTCATTCATTCACATGCAGGGTCTTCTTGTATAGACCAGTCTGGCCTCCACCTGTTGATCTTCCCACCTCCCTCTCCGGAGTGCTTGCCTACAGGCATGTGCCAGCACACACAAACAATTGTATTCAGGAAATGAATCGAATGTACTCTACCTGGACAAACAATGTATGTTTTCTAACATGTTTCTAGTAGGCCAAGTTCAAGTGCAGAATTCTCCAGTCCTTGGAGCTACACTCATTTGGGCAGAACATTCCGGAGTCATATGGCATAAGACTTAAAGGTGAGGGTATAAGTTTAAATTGCCATTTTGGGATGGGTCCTTGGGAAGAGCTTTGGAGGGAGATCCCTGAGCAGAAAGGGCAGTCAGGAATCACTATGGGCTGGGTTGGGTCACTCAAGTACCTTTGGCAAGGGTGATGTTCCTCAAGGCAATGGAGTGTTCCCAGTCCTTGAGACGCAGGTCCTCCGTCACTACGTTGAGCATGGCCAGCTCTTGCTTAAGTTGCATCTCCATGTCCATGTGCACCAGCCTCATGCGGCGTGTGTCGGCGCTGGCATTGCTCACCAGTACCTGCAGGTCCTGCAGCCGCGTGCTGTGCAGGGCCACGTCGTAGGACAGGCTGTGGTTGAGGCCACGCAGTGCCCCACCTACATCAGCCAGCTCCTCGCTCAGGACGCCAACCCTGTGCGCCAGCCCATCCAACAGGCCCTTGTGCTGCTGCAGCAGCAGCTGGCTGCGATTGCTCTCCACCTGCAGCTGGTAGAGTTCCAACTGCGCAGAGTCACTCTGCTGTCCTGTGCGGTCACGCAGCAGGGCCACCGCCTGCTCGGTCTGTGCCGCCTGCGCGTGTAGCCCCCACAGCGTACCCTCCAGACGCTGCACCAAGCCCGCCAGGGCCAAGAGCGAGTCTGTCTGGTTCTGCAGCGCATCCTGAACCTTCCACACTTGTTCCGTCAGGTCCGTCTGCAGCGGAGCCTGCAGCAGCCGGAGCTGCATGTCCCGGAAGCTCTCATTCAGCTGGTTCACATTCCGAGTCAGCGCTTTCAAGTCATCGGGGGAACTTCGAGGCCTGGACACTGTAGAGGAGGTGAGAAATGAAAAGGAGTTGGGTAGGAAGGTCCAGATAACAACAGGCAACTCTATGGCATACAATAGGTGCTCAATAAAAAGTGAATGAAAGGGAGGATGGCTGATCCTGAGTGCTTCAGTAGATCTTGGGCACTGGGCATAACAGTGGTCCCCAAACATATGTACCACTATAATCATTTGCAGATATTGCTGACATCGGGTAGGATGTGGACTTCGGAACTTTAAAAGATTCCTGGTAACTCTAGGTTGGAGCCTAGTTTGGGCTCTGCTGTGTGTTAGGTAATAGGAAATGGCAGGGTTTTTCTATTGGATCGATGTTGGATATGGACAGTTCTGTGGAACTCAACTGAAGATACTGGTTATTCTCTCCAACGCTCAGGGAACGTCCTAGAAGAGGGGACGGAAAGAATGTCGCTTCAGGAGGAAGGGTTGGTATACAAGGATGTCTGCCAAATATGGCAGCGCCTTTGTACTCAGGAATCGACAGAACCACACAAGACTGGCCTGCCAACATTCTGTCCTAGAGGAGAGAGGGCTTCATGAGGTCCCATCCTCCTTGAAGATCTAGTGGCGGTTAATGGTTGATGGAGAAGGGAGATGCTTTCTTCAATAATGTGGCCTCTGGCTAGCTGTTCAAGCTCCTCTAAATACTGTTCACCATGTAACTCTAATTAAACTTGGTTACACACACACATACTGAGAGAAAGAGTATATTGTCTTATGATCCCTTCCACCTCAGGAAATGGGTACCAGCAACCGTCTAAAGTTCTCCCCATGCACCTACAGGAACTTAATAATCTAATTGCCAGTGACAACATTAAGAGATGCGACCTTTTGGAGGCGACTAGGTCATGTGGGTAGAATACACTATCACAAATACGATTATGACTTATACATGAAGCTCAAGGAAACTGTCCACCCTATCCCCTTAGCAGGACGTACAAGAGATGCCATCAGGCATTGTATCATTTGGAGCCTTGATCCTGGACTCCCAGCCTCTGGAACCATGAGCAAGAAATTTCTGTTGTTCATAAATTAGCCAGTTTAAGGAGTTGCATTACAGTGGCTCAAACAGACTAAGCCAATCCCATTGTACCTCCTTTTACAGCTAGACCTGTTAATATGGTCCATGATAGCACAGCAAATCCTACCCCAGTGGGGTAGCCCAGAACTGGACTTTCCTCTATGTCTTCCCTGGAGCTGCTTAAAGCAATCCCATCAGGCAACAGGCAGAGCCAGGCTGATAGCTACTGTGCCGCTGGTTTGTGGCTTCCTCTGTTCAAGGTCCCACCTCGTTCTACTGCAGCAACAACATCCAAGGGTGTGTGTGGGTGGGTGGGGGCGCATTCAGACCTGTTCCTTTCCTTCTCTGCCCCCTTTCACCCTTTTAGGTTCTCTACGTTCATCCCCAGCAAAACGAGCCACTCCAGCCCCCTCCCAACATTTCCCTGTGGACAGCGGTCCTTTCCCTGGTTGTGAAATATCCTAAGAGGAGAAATCTTCTTCGCTAGATTCTAGCATCGCGGTGTCTCCTGGGAGCTTCTGCAACCTGGGTGCTGAGGTATCGAGGGACCGCTGCTCTGCTCTGTAGAGTCAGGAAAGGAAACCAGCAGCTATGGTGGGATTGGGGCAAGAAGGATGAGCTAATTCTGCTTTGGAAATCTTGAAAACCAGAAGACCAGGAACTTAGTGCAAAGCTTAGTCCAACAAGAAAGCAGGCATACAACTTCTCTTTGAGGACTCTGTATTGGGAAGTGATAGGAGACAGGAGGGGAATGGTGGGACATGTTTATATTCTGTATTACAGAGACACATATGCACTCTCTGTAGTCAAAAGGAAGCAACCCATACACGGATTTCTAGCTCAACATCCACATACTGTTGGGAGTTTGTTTGTTCGGAGATACATCCCCACCTCAGCCCAGACACCCTTGGAGAAATACAAAGTCAAAATCAGCAAAAGCTAACTCGACTCAGCATTTCTAGAAGTTCTTGAGCCCACACAGCCACAGAGTGAGGGGGAGAGCACAAGGAATAAGGAAAGAGGCACAGACATCACGAGTCTCAGAAACGTGGCTGACACCTGAGCAGAGGGGCAAGCAGAGGAGGACACCCGAGCCCTGGAAGGATTGACCGACTTTGCACTGTTTTTCTCCCTGTAAGATCCGCTGACTGGAAAAGAGATGGAGTGAAGGTATCGAGGGTACATCAGTCTGCTGTCGGCGCAGATTGCCAGCGCTGTGGATAAAGGGCCATGTGAAGATTCAGTTCCTGTCTCTGATTCGGAGCTCACAAGTATCATGAACAGAATTCTGATTGCAGAAAGAGGAAAATGGGTGGTGAGGGTTCTTGGGTCACATGACCCGTGCCTGTACTCCCTCTGGGATGTCCCTGGAATCACACAGCACTTGTGGTGAACACAAGTCACTTTAGATAAGGTTCTGCGGTGTGGAAGCGAGCGAAGCCTTGGATGCCTGCTTCAACTTTCCCCTTCGCTTTGACCACGAAAGTCACTCTGCCAAGCGCTCACTCAGCCTCCCCACGGTCAGTTAGTTATAAATATTGGAATGTTTTGCGTTCTGTTCATATTTGAGTTGGCCATGCCAGAGTTTCTATCCATGGATTTTTTCCCTTTGGTAGAATGTAGAACCCATGCATTTCCTGACAGGGTGGCCCTTTAGAATTTCAAAGAAATGCATGGATCTTTTCTGCTTAAAATCTCCACTTCCCTCATTCATTTTCTCAAGGCCAGGCTTAGCCTCCAGATATTCTGGCTGCCTTCTGTACTTGTTCTAGCTTGTCAATCACACCTTGATTGACAACCTTAAATGACAAACTAGTTTAAACAAAAGTATGGACAGATGGAGCCTAGCAGAAGGATCAGTTCCTTTACTTTGGTCATGAGACTTCTGGTGAGGTGGCCCAAGCCAGGCATGGTCAGCCCCTTCTGGGCTCTGCAGCCACTGAATGGATCCCCACAGTCTCTGGTGAACGGGATGTTCCCACATTCTACTGATGAAGAGACCAAGGCCAGGAGGTAGAATGACCATTAGTGACCTGCCTCCTGATCCCTGTTCCCATGACCCACACCACTGTCACCCTCTGGAAGGTGACTACAGAGTTGTCAATATAAAAGCAGCTTCCAGGGGAATGAAGCCATGTGCAGCCACAGCCAGGAGTCCACAGGACTGTGAACTGCAGGGATCATAGCAGGACAGTGTGTCTGCATGCGCCCCCTCCCCGGCCCCGCCTACACTCATGGGGTGTGGCACTGAGACAGGGCAGGTGGAGAGCAGAGATCCCAACACTTCTCATCAGTCCCTACTGAGGACACCCCAGAGCTCAGGCAAACCTGAGTCCAACAGAGGAGCATTCATTGTGCTTCTGATGAGTGACTGGGAGCGACCGGGAGAAAGAGTGCCAGCCCCTTGGTTGAAGTTGCAGGTGGTTTAAGGTCATATTTGCCCAGAGTCCAGGTAGTGAGCCAGGAATTCTTTTTCCTCTCCCTCCTTCGCAGCCCTGAAGGCCACAGGCTCTGCCCATTGGACCCTTCTTTGGCACCTGGAGGCTTTAGGCCTTTCTCTTTGTCCAGGGAATGAAGCTAAACCTGTGTCCATATAGGAACAACCTACAATTGCCTTCTCCAATCCCAGGGAGTCTCTGGGAGTCCTTGATCCTTGCACAACCAATCAGCATACAAATCCAAATTAGAAAGAAACTCCTCCCCCAAGCCACACCCTCCTCCAAGACTCCTCCCACAGCCCACACCCTCCTTCAAGGCTCATTTCCCCCCCAAGCCACACCCTCTTTCAAGGCTCGTCCCTCCCCCAGCCACACCCTCCTTCAAGGCTCATTTCCCCCCCCCAGCCACACCCTCCTTCAAAGCTCCTCCCACAGCCCACACCCTCCATCAAAGCACTGTTTGCTTTGCTTTCCCAGCTCCATCATTTGCATACTCAGGCTTTACAATGCCACTTCTGCAGAGTTCTCCATTTAATATTATAATTATTTCACAAGAATTTTGCCGTCTTTCTTTTATTCTCTTCTAATTCTGTTGACTGCAAAAAGTTTCTGGAGGGGACACACTATTATCCCAGCAAATAAAAGCAGACATTTTTTTCTTTTCTTTTCTTTTCTTTTCTTTTCTTTCTTTCTTTTTTCTTTCTTTCTTTCTTTCTTTTTCTCTCTTTCTCTCTTTTTCACTTAAGATTTTCATAACAATAAAGTCTCAGAAGTTGAATCAGTAGGCCAAAAGATATATAGATATTTTTATGACTTAAGAAAAAATCCCATAACCAGATGTGGTGGCTCACAACAAACACAAAGGAGATTGAGGCAGGAGGATTGTCACGACTTTGAAGTCAGCCTAGGCTACATGATAAATTATAGGACAGCCTGGGTTACAGACTGAGACCACCCTCCCCTCTGTCTCAAAAACCCAAACCAAACAAACAATAAAATCACAGTTAAGGACTCTCCCAAATTATGCTAATTCTTAATACTCACAGGGTAGATGTTTAAGAGTGTTTCATTACATCCCTCATTGCTCATGTCACAGTTAGCACGTGGTACCTTGCTATCAGGATAAGTCTGTTACAGAAGCAGCCTTTTCAAGGTGATGTGCCTATTCACTGGAATGGCCTCTCTAGTTTTAGGTATGTAGACCAATCAAATCACTGTTTGTGGAGTCAAATATTTTCTGGGCCCCGACTCATGCTGGCCAAGCCTAAAGCAATGTCCTTCCTTTGGGACCATTTACGCACAGCAGAGTGAATTATCTCCTTCCAACAGTGTTCTCTGCTCATGACCCCTCCCCCCTTTAATTCCTTCCAGATGGTTGCTGTCCTCAACAGGGAACAATTCTTTCTTGAGTGTGACTCTCTTAATTCGTGTTTATGCAAACAGCTCATTTATCTCCCTCCCTGGCTTACCTCCTTTTAATGTGTTTTAATGATTTCTTCAACTTCTATGGTTTCACAAATGGGAA